CAAAATCTGTATAATAGAATGAATCATTCATCCCCAGAATGAAAAATAATACATATCAAATACATGTAGAAACTATAGTATTGCACATTCATGAACAATCTGAAATCTTAGAACTTTTTTTAAATAAAAAAGCAAAAACAAAAGGTTTGCATCCTACAGCTCATCAAAGTTTTCTGTATTTATAATTACCACATTGCTGTCAATATCTGGTTCTAAACAATATTATAGTTGGATTTGTAATAATTGAAATGTTGGCTTTATTTTTTTTAATAAAAGAAGAAACAAGCCACACCAGTGAAGAATCATTCTTAAATTTTAAAATAATTTCTTTGATTCTTATGTAAAAAGGACACAGCTTTAAAATATATTTGATGAAAAATCGCTGAAAATTAATTTTGACAATCTGAGTATATATGATATATGATATATGATATATGATTCCAGCCAAGATGCCCAAAGCATGAAAGTTGTATGCTTGACATCTGAGGTTGTACAATTTCTCTATGAATATGAATCAAGTTTACAAAATGATTCCTATTATATTAGTAGCAACATTTTATGAGTTTTCCTAGAAATTCCTGCATATTAAAACATTCTGTCTAGTTGAAAGAAAAAAGTTAATAAGAAAGTATAATATAGAATCAATTGGTCTATACCACAAGGTAGAAAGCGCAGATGATATTAAGATCATCTATTACCCCACCAATTACATTTCATATTTCTAATTTTTTTAAAAAAAGCAGTGAGCCATGAGAGCCTGGTAATCCAATTAAACAACATCGTGGCCTCCAAAAATATGTGAGAGGCTATACTAACCTAACAAGGCTTGATGACATACAGTACCCTTCGCTTTGCTTGTGGGAACCCCAAGTCTCACAAAAGAAACGACTTTCACCAAGTCGCAAACTGCCCAGAGTTCCCGAAGTTTCCTCATTAGTTTCACCTGCTGCTTTGGATAAGCTGAAATTTCAGACAAAAGATGAACTATAATTGGAGAACGATTATTAAGGAAAAGACAGAGAAACATTTTATCTAAGGTGCAACTAATGATTGTATGAATGGCACTTCTTCTAGATCCTGCAATGTCAAAGCCTTGGATGTATCAAGATAATAAATGCAGAAAAGCAGGACTGAAAATGTGTCACTTTGCTCAGAGATTTCAGTAAATGATCAGGTAGAAATCACAAGGGTTAGTGTCAAATACTTTCTCACTCCACCAAAAAATCTAGTATATTCTGAACACTATCTTCAAGCAAAGTGATGATTAAATTGTTCAGGGGTTATTATTATTTTTTTGGTAACTGTATGATTTTTATTAGACCTAAATTCTTGATACATGTAAGTCTTTAATAACATAGAGCCAAAAGAAGTTCTGTGAGGAATGCAAGTTCACAAGCTACGCAATGGGTACTGTATCTCATAAAGGGAGAAAAAAAATAACCATCTATGTCTTGCAAGGGCCAGGCTAATGAGCATGCAGGGAGAAAAAAATGAGGCATTGCAATCAATTGTGTGTGAAAATTATGCAATTACTGCAAGGAGGGAGGGAGGGAGGGAGGGAGGGAGGAAGGAACCAAAAATTGCAGGTTTTATGCAAAGCTGACAAAAAGCTTTAAAAAGTTACCGCTGGCGATCTGACTTGTAAGTTGCTGTGAGCTCATCAAACATGGCACTATTCATTTCCATAAATGCCTTCAGCACATTGTATACTAATGCCACAATAGCCCTGTAAAATATGAAAGAAATTCATCAAACTGCTCAAAAAGGTTAGAAAACGTTTTGTTGTAGATTTGTTGTGTTCATGTTTCTAATATTCAAATTCCTTTCATTTTACACACAAAAGGGAAACTATTCTAATATAATCTCAAAGACCCTTGAGACACTCTTGGAGACATTTTATTTGAATGATTCACGTCAGCTTCCATTCCTACAATGTTTCAGGCTTTTGTGCATCTACAACATTATTAAAATTGATTAATGTATATCCAAAAATAATAATTTAAAAAAATTGATTAAACAAATTTTCTGGATGCACTGGCTATAAAAGACAATAATTTTTTTTTATATATGGCCTTTCCTTACTTCCCCAAACCTATTAGGAACCTATGCTAATTTTCTGTAATTTGACCCAATACTAGAAAAGGAAATTTAGACCTATATTTTAATAATGCTAAAATGTTGAAAAACAGAAAGAAGATAAAATAGTCACTTGAAGGCACAAGAGAGAAAAAAACTTTCATTTAAAATTATTTCCCACACTATATTCTTTAAAAATATGGAACCTCAGAAAAAGATCTTTATTATAAATTTAATAATACTGATCTTATTAGGCTCATACCTAAACATAGATGGGCACTATTTTGAAACTTTAGTTTCACATTCTTCTTATTCAGTTCCTCAAATAATTTTCTGCTGGAGAGCACACTGAATAAAACAACAACTTATGAAAAGCATTGTGAAGACTTTTTTTAAAAAAATAAACCGAATTAGGTTCCATCCCCAAAAATATGCATTTTCAAGTAGCAAAGGGATGCTTTATTCTTTGTCAGATGATTGAAATAATATTATGGTCTACATTTCCCTAGTTGGTGCTGGTATACAAAATACTGAGTAAGTGTAGTAAACTACTGATAACATTACCACCATTCATATGTAGTTCTCCATATTACAATACAAAATAAAGCACTAAATTCAAACAAATGTACTGAAAAATTAGCAGCAACATCAACCACAACAACTTACGGATTCCAGTGTTCTTTGGAAATCCTGTATAGACTGGAAAACATGATAGGAAGTATTACATTGGAATTCTCCTCTATCAAACTCATTATGTATTCATTATTCCAATAGTAAAGTGCTCTTTCAGCCACCTTGAAATAATAAAAAAAAAGTATTATTTTTGAAACTGCTTATGGATAATTGCAAACAAAAGCAAGTAAAAAAAAAACTTCCTCCAAAAAAGAAATTATAAAGGTAACACCCAACTGACAAAAGCAGGAATTTGCTTATGTAGAGTTTATGTTCTTAGTTATCTCCCCCAGAAATCCGATAAAGTTTTCGCAACACAAGCAGAGATATTTGGCATGCATGCATGTGTGAGTGTATACTGGGCCATAATTGTCTGGCCCTTCAGAGTGAATTACAATACTCCATCCACCATCTTGCCAGTGTTGACCACACCCCTACAAATACTTCTGTGTTGGCGAGAGGAGAGAAGAGAGAAAATAAAGTAAAGCAAGCTCCAGACAAAATTAATAGCTTGGAAAGGGATGTGAGGCAAGGACAGAGTTCTCAGGACTACAACTGAAATATTGTAAATTATTTCCTATTCCAAATTATTGACTTCCAAGAAACTATCAGAAAAGCCCCCAGAATGGTTAGCCTGGCATATACCAGAAGAAAAATGGAACGTTCCACGGAACATCAAAACAATATATCCTGCTAATTTTGTATATCTCTAATTAAATGCTCTTAATTATTTCTCTCTTTGGGGACCTGAAATATTAAATTACATCTGATAAGAGTCTATTGACACAAAAAGATAAGGGACAAAGAGTCCACTATCCTATTAATTTTTCGATTATGTCCATGAGCAATTAAAAGAAACTTTTTTACACCTATCTCCATTTATTTTTCAGTAAACTGTAATAATTTTATTAGAATGGATCCAATGCTGTTTCTTTCATAACAATCTCCTACTAGAACGAAAAGTGTGAGTGGTATATGAATATGGAACTCGCTTGTCACAAACTGAAAATCTTTCATGAAGAAACAAAAATTCTGAACCTATTCATCTAAAAGGAACAAACATTATTGCAAATTTCATTAAATTTTTCCAGCAAATAGAATTAACATTGTCCTTTTAAAAATAATGGCAGTTATAATACTAATAATATCAGCAACTATTACTAATATAATATCACACACAAAGCCATTTACATCTATCTGATTGAAATTTGTCCAATCATCACCTCATATTTAATTTGTAATAATAGAAATGATAGAAATGGGCTTCTGAAGAAGAACTAGATCTAATGAAGATGTCAATTCCAATCAGACTCCACATTAACATGAAGTAATTTAAGCCATTTCCCAAAGTCCAATCTGAACCTAATCTTGCAGACATAACACATTTATAATAATTAGTCTCATCTAGTTGCAATACTGACCTGAAAATGAGGGCTAGACACACATTTAGCTAATTGTTTAAATAAGGGTTCCTGAATTTTGACAAACTGTGAAGGTTCAATCACATCCAATATTTCTTCCAGCTCTCCAAGGAACATGACCTAAAATAAAATTTAAACAAATATATGAAATACAAACATATTTTAAAGTACCGTATTTTTTGGAATATAGGTCATACTTCCCACCCTCCCCCCAAAAGAAGCTGAAAATTGGGGTGTGTCTTATATTCCAAATGTAGCTTTTTGGAAGCTTTTTTCAGCCCTAATGAGGTGCCAACGAGTGAAGGGATCTGAGATCTTAATAGATTGGAAGATAGGTTCACTCGTTAGCACCTCATCAGGGCTGGGAAAAAAGCTTTGAATATTTTTACTGCAGCATACTGTTGGAAAAATTTCCCATCCTTCCAGCTGGGAGAAGTGGACAGGAAAGAATTGAAGAATTCTTTTTTCTTAGAGGTACTTCTTTTGTCCAATTTCTATTTTTGGGAGATAATCCTCTCAAGGGTAAGGCAGAGTTCCTGTGACTATGAGATTTCTATTCAATTTATATTCTTTTGGGGATAATCTCTTTAAGGGCAAGGCAGGGATTTTTCATATGGCTATCTGAGCTTTCTCAATGTTTTCTTCAGGCAAGCTCTTGACTGGTTTGTTGATTCAGCTTTGTTACATTTTTACAGGTGTGAAGTGCTTTTGGCTGAATGCCCAGACATACAGTTAAGCTTATTAAGAGGTTCCACCTTGGGGAAAGAAAAAGTGGCAAAAAGTGTTATTTTATTATACTATTGTGTTTACTTGCTTTTCTGGTGCTATTGGAATAAAAATGAATACCTGGTAGGCAGAATTTTCCTCCCCAAAAATAAGGTGCGTCTTATACTCTGCTGTGTCTTATACTAAATACAGGTAATGTTGATTTGTTAATACTAGCTGCAATTATTGGACTGTTTCTTAAGAAATGCTAGAAATGCATTTTAACTGATAATATCGTGCAAAGCATGTTTCAATATTGTTTATTGTTTTGTATTTCAGACTGGCATCTAATATTAAAAATAAGTTTAAATATTACTTTTAAGAACATCCTATTATATTTCCAGATGGCATTAAGAAAGAATTTCTTTATTCCTACCATAATATGGGGCCTAATAATATTGTTTATGTCAAAATCTACACTGGAGTGAGGATGACAACAAATGAGAAAACATTCATTATGACATTACAATACAAAATATACTCCTTACGAATTAGTGGTCAGGAAGTTGCATGCAAATAAATAAGGGGCAATGCAGATTTTGTTACTTTGACAAAACGTCTATTTGCTATGGACAACCAAGTCTTTATGTTCCTCTTAGGAATTATATTCTTCACTGCATTATGAAATACAATTGATTACTGTTCATCAAATATACCTCTTTTTGACTGCAAGTTTTCGGCCAGAATTTCATTAAACCTCTAATGACCTAAATTAAAGAAGAAAAGGTAAACAGACCAATTAGAAATAATAATGTGCCAGTTGACAAAATTTTTATTCAATATTTTAAAATGTTCATCTGTGCATGTATTTCTTATATTTACAGGTTCTGTGAGTGAAGGGTCTTTCTCTAGAAACTGCACAATGCAATACGCCAACTGCAGAAACAAAAGAAAACATGCACATTAAAATCTTTAATTGAAAGGAAAACAAAAATAGTTATAAGCAACTAAACTTGATGCATAGTTTGAATCATAACTAGTAAGGACAGAATGCCCATTAGTATTTCTTGGTTCTTTCATTCTACTTTTCCACAGTGTCTTCCACCTTTCATTAACTGCAACTATAGTCTGGGGGATTCCTTTAAAACATAACAAGGAACAATGAAGCTGTAATATAAAAGGACAGATTGGGAGCTTCCTTCTCTGTCTGTAAGTGGGCTGTTTGGGATATAGGTCTTATTTCACTACAAGCCATACTCTGCTACTGCAAGCAAGACTGCAACCCATTTGTTCTAAATCACATTCCACAGTACAGGTAGTCCAGATAATACAAGTCATGATGACTGATGTATCATTTAAACCAGGGGTGGGAAACGATGGCCCTTTTATGACTTGTGGACTGCCAACTGTCAGAATTCCTTAGAGAGCCATTGTTCCTCACCTCTGGTTTAAACAGTAACAAAAAGATATTTCTAGTAGTTCTTGACTTACCACCATTCATTTAGTGATCACTTAAAGTTACAATGGCACTGAAAAAAGTGATTTGTGTCCATGGCAACATGATCAAACTTCAAACTTCGGAGGCTTGGCAATTTACGAAGGTTGCAGTATCCCAGGGTCATGTAATCCACCTTTTACAAGCCTTCTGACAAGCAAAGTCAATGAGGAAGCCAGATTCACTTAACAACCGTGTTGATAACTTAACAACTGCAGTGATTTACTTGGCAAGAAAGGTAGTAAAATGGAGCAAAATTCACTTAACTTGCTTAGCAATGGAAATTTGGGGCTCACTTGTGGTCACAAGTCAAGGAGTACCTATGTGCCAGAGCAACTACATAAATGTGAATTTAATAACATTTACATTCATCACTATATAATTTTTCTTTAAAATATTTTTCCTTTACATTTCTGAAAGCGTTAAGCACCTTCTGAGATCTTATGAGATGAGTTAGTAGCTTTGTAGAACATAGAAATATGTAAAGCTAGCAAGACTACATCTGCAGGAACGTTAGAGGAAACGTTTACCAAACAATGCTTTCAATGATTGAGGAAAAGGTTAGGCATGCAGTATGGTAACAATTATCAGTTTAAGAAAAGAAGAATATTATATAACCTAAAGTACAGGAACCAATCAGAATTCATGCTAGATATTTCACCACCATGATCACATCTGACACAAGTAGTTAACTGTATAACGTCAGAAACAAGCTTTTTTAGCTCTATCCATAGTCCTTACTGGAGAGAAGGGGTTGTTTTTAAAACATAAAGCACTCCTCTTATTGTCTGTAGTTCCATTTCAGATGCAACCTTCAACTGACATAGAATTCACCAAGAAGTAAATTAAGAAAGGAAAAAAAATATCAGTAGATTATTGTGACTGTTTGCTTTTCCCCAAACAAATATAGGGACATATAAAATCTTGAATTTCCTACTTTGAAAGAAAGGCGGCAGCTACTAATAAACAGACACAGATATAGATAGCTGCTTGACCCAGAACCTAATTTATTTTTGGTGACATAACCCATTCCATTTTTGTTCTCATCCAAATGTGCTAATTTGTAGGGGGGAGAGAGGGCTTCTGACTCCCCAAGCTATATAAAGATTCAAAATCTTTCTTTTGTAGCCTCAGAGCATCTTTCAAACAAGCTGTTGAATGTTACTGGTATGATTACTGTAAATCAGTGACAGTTTTCCATGACTTTAAGGTAGAATAAATGCATCAGAAGCATTTTAACTCTTAAAAAATTAAGGGAACCTACCCAGCTCTGAATTTCAATCATACTGATGTGGCTTGAATCTATGCAATATCATTCATTGTAGCAGTTACCAAAACATCATCCATCTTTCTGCTAGATGTAGTAATAGTACTTATTGAGAGAACTCATTAAGAATCCAGTCAAATATGGTCTATTTGATAAATCTAGTTTACAATAGTGAATGGGTTAGAACAATTCATGAACCCAGCATGTGCTTCTTTATGCATGGCAGTAAATTTGTTTTAACTTAATAATATTGTACATTGTTTATATAACAGAATGTGACACAGTTCTTACAAAAATATAATACATGACATAGTACTTAAATTTCTACCTGTGCATGGAACAGCGATAGACTTCTAACGGTATGTAGAGGGATCAATACTTTCACCAAAAACTGTTTATGCTCTGCTTTAAGAGGTAAAGCAAAGCCATTGATAATACTAGAAATAAGAAAAGAAGATTTTTTATTTATTTATTTGTAATATAATCTATAATTTGCTTTTCCTCCAAATGTATTGAACTCCATCTTCATTTTATTCCCACCACAAAAACCTTGTGAAATAGGTTGAGTACAACTGGTCCAAACCCAGTCAGTGTCCATGGTGAAGAGTGGATTTGAACCTAGATCTCCCTGGACCTTGTTCTACATCTTACTTATAATGTACTCAATATACAATATACTGAAATCTGAAAGGAGCAAAACTGCTTCTGATCTGGCACAAGTGCACTTTCTGCAGCTGTAAGCAACTCCTTAAAGAGACATGTTTTTTTTCATGAAACTGTATAGAAGCTACGTAGGTTTGAGAAAACACTCTCTGAATTCAGGAAATGTTATGGCTACGTTATCAAAATACTGCACATTCATAATCACTGATCACTTTTATACAGGTATAGACTCTGAAAAGCCCACCACATGTAAAGCAGTATATATAATTCTATTTTGCTGATGAAGACTGACTGATTTATTGTTCCGATTGCTTTAATTCCTGAGACATTCTGCACTGTTTGCTTACGTACTTTGTCCATTTGCTAGAACAGATCAGTCTATAAATACTGATAAATAGCTAAATAAGCCTAGAGACTTTTCTCTGATTATTATGGTTCATCACACAATTAGCCAAACGTTTAGATGGGATTTGGCATTTTTGTCACCTACTGATTCCTTCACAAAGACCTTGAATTGGCAGATGTGAATGTTTGATTATGTTAAAGGCATCAAAAGCAGAATGTATACTGTGTGCACAATTATTAGGAAAGTGAGTATTTTGACTATATCATTTTTATGCATATCTTCCATCTCCAAGCTGTATAAAATTGAATGCTTATTGGACATAAGCATTTCAGGTGATGTGCATTTGTGTAATGAGGGAGGGTGTGGCCTAAGGAGATCAACACGCTATATTAATTATGTGCATAATTATTAGGCAGCTTCTTTGCCTCGGGCAAAATGGGCCAAAAAAGAGATTTAAGTGACTCTGAAAAGTCAACAAAAAATCTTTCAGATGAATGCAGCACACTTGAAATTGCTAAGATATTGGGGCGTGATCACAGATTGGGGCGTGATCACAGAACCAGCAAATGTTTTGTTGCAAATAGTCAACAAGGTCACAAGAAACGTGTTGAGGAAAAAAGACACGCATGAACTGCCAAAGATTTGAGAAGAATCAAATGTGAAGCTACTAGGAACCCATTATCCTCCAGTGTTGTCATATTCCAGAACTGCAACCTACCTGCAGTGTCCAGAAGTACAAGGTGTTCAATGGCTCAGAGACATGGCCAAGGTAACGAAGGCTGAAACCCAACCACCACTGAACAAGAGACATAAGTTGAAACGACAAGACTGGACCAAGTAATATTTGAAGACAGATTTTTCAAAGGTTTTATGGACTGATGATAGTGACTCTTGATCAACCAGATGGATGGGCCTGTGGCTGGATCAATAATGGGAACAGAGCTCCACCTCAACTTAGACACCAGCAAAGTGGAGCTAGGGTACTGTTATGGGCTGATATTATTGAAGATGAACAGGTTGAAGATGGACTCCTAAACCTACTGCCAGTTTTTAGAAGACACTTTCTCCAAGCAGTGGTACAGGAAAAAGTCTACATCTTTTAAGAAGACCATGATTTTTATGCAAGACAATGCTCTATGCATTGTATATTTTGAGTTGTTTATTATTCTCACTTTAATAGGTGCAAATAGCAATACCACTTAGACTTATGTACCACTTCACTGTGCTTTACAGCCCTGTCTAAGTGGTTTACAGAGTCAGCATACAAAAGAGTGAGATGGGCAAATTTTCATTTTCCAGTTAGTTGCATAATAACTCTGCAGACTAATAGTTGCCCAATAATTGTGCACACACAGATATTCTCCTAAGAAAGCCAAAAGCTCATTTTTACTTTCTTGAATATTCAGGTTTGAGATTTATTAACCTTTTAGATTGACGGAGATCTCTGTAGTTGTTCAGTAATAAAATTAATCCTCCAAAATGCAAGTTGCCTAATAATTGTGCACACAGTATAAACTGTTCGAAACAAAGCTGCCTTTTGCAATGGATCGATGCTGATTTCGTCAATGGTGATGTTGTTCAAGTGGTGCTCCAGAGTTATTTTGGGATTGCACCCAAGGCGTCTAATACTATTAGTACTACGTTTGCTTTCTTTTGCCATGGCCATTCTATTTTTATTTGCAGATCTTTGTATTTTGTGAACTTTTTTCTGTTCTTTCTCTTCTATTGCTCTCTCCTGGGACTACCATGTCCAGTATTCAGACTTTCATACTGACAATTGTTAAGTCTGGATACTGGATGTGGTAGTTCCAGTAGTTATGTAGCAGATTATTATTATCCATTATTCATATTTATATTCCACTTTTTCTTTAAGATTCAAAAAGAGTATACAGGAAATTATAAGAAAAACTAATTTTATTAGCTTTTAAAAAGGCCCTGGAAACATATTTTGATGGTGTTACCTAGTTTGGTAATGAAACATCTGCAAGAAAACAACAACAGTTCAGAGACCACCAATGACTCCATACATTTTTGTAGAGGCTTTGACTGATTTTAATTATTTGACTTCCTTGGTTTATTTAAATTGCCATTTAAACTATATTTAATGCAACAGTGTTGTTATATATTTATTGTAAAATACTATGGTACTGCTACTAGGCAGTCTACCAAGTTAAATAAATAAATTTAATTCAAATCAAATTAAGTTAAATCCTAGAAACAAGCTTTAGTCATTTGTTTTTTTGTCTTTTGAATGAATGAATAAATGAGGGTCAGGATATAATGGAAATGTAATTGTGTGATCTTGCATCTAAATTTAGTTTTTATATTACTTTTAATGAAGTAAGCTTTTGCTAATGTATAAATAAATAAATAAATAAATAAAACATATAAACTCTGATGAAAGAGCAATATATCTACATAATATTACTATATTTACATCCTTAGTTAGTTGTAAAGAATGGGACTTCATTACCTTCCTAATATTTCCAGCAGTTCAGCCACACCATTGAAGTGTTCAGTTTCATAAACAAACCTGCAAAGCAAATTGCATATATTAAATGTTCATATTTATTCAGTAATACTATCATGTAACACCAAAAGAAGTTTCTTGTGCCCCTATTCTTAAAACTTACCGTAAAAAAATATTATTAATCTGTTTTCTGATAAATGCTCTAAGACCAAGGAACTTGCCATAAATTCTGTGTAAGACTGTTTTTAAATAGTCCCGTTCCCGAGGATCTTCACTGTCAAATAGCTCCAAAAGCTAATAAAATAAAGCAAAACACAACAGGTTACAAATGCTATTTGACTTTCATCTTTTAATATCTCTGAAATGCTTTATTCTCTCCAAAATCTGCACTTTTCTATGTACTATGTTCCAAAATCACATTAGTTTTTATCATCATATCATTAGTTTTTATCTTTCTATCTAATTCTTGCCATTCTTGCTTTATTAGCAAGTGATAGCCAAAGAGGGTCAATTCAGATTTCCTGCAGGACTTAGGATATATTCCATATGAAATAAGAAATGTTTCAATTAGTGGATTCTGGCAAACTTTTGTATAAAATTCTTAGTCATGACATTTACTATTTCTTGAACTTAGCTGTAATTCTCCAATATTAAACATTCATACAAAATATTCCTTGAACTGAATGAGTACAAGTAAGCAAACATTATTATTCATCTTGATTAACGAAGACTGGTATATTTATTAATACTATAAGATTAAATAAAATACCTGTAATACAAATTTTTGATCTATATACTTTTTGGCAATGCTGGGCTGAAATTCTTGGCTTTCCAAAAATCGTATGAAAAATTCATATACAAGCTGCAAAAAAATAATAACACAGGTTAGTCCTGATTAAATGCATGTTGTAATTCTACTGCACATATTAATATGTTATTATTTTTGTAATTTTTGTTAAGAAAAAGTAATTTAACCTATATATTTAACCTATATATTTTAATCATTTCAACTGCCCATCTGCTGCCCCATTTCTCATATACAGAAGCCCTAAATGTTCCCCAAGTACGCAGTTTGTTGATGACATTACTGTTCAATCCATTTTTTTTAAAGGTAAATATAAACAAATACAAAGAGTGTCTTATTTCCGTTCACATTAAATATAGTGCTCATTAACTCTTCTTATTTAACTATCATCAGAAGAACTCAGTTAAGAACAGACACTTTCCACCTGTACACTTGGTCACTGAATTGTCCAATTTCCTAGGAGTAATCAACAGCGTATTCTTTTTGCTCTCCAGACTTTTGAAATCACATAAAATAAAGCAATTACAACATTGAAGAGAGTTAATTAAACTGTTTGGATTCATGTAATAGCAATCAGAAAATATATAGGACTATTATACACTACACCAAGAGAGATGTCTGATTGATTGATCAGATTTAATCAGCAGCCTCTAGCATACTACAAAAACTTGGCTTCTTTCCACCTGAAAATCATTATATGACCATTCCATTAGCTCTGCCAGAGAAGTCACGCTCTGGGTGCCATCAGCTAAAGGCCAATATCTGGTGCAAAAATGTAGGTGTCATTTTGATATTCTGGAAGGCCCTCAAGGCCTGGTTAAATTATCACTCCTCGCATTCCCAGGGTCCCAGAAACATGTTTAGTTAGCTCCAATACCGGCTATTTTAATTCTTTGCTTAAGGTTTGTATCTCTGTGCTTATATTTATGTAATTGTGTGGTGGTGGGGGTTGTATCTGTGGTTTTTAGATGTGGCTTTACTCATTTGTTGTGCACTGTCCAAAGTTGCCTTTGATTTGTTTCAAACAGGGTAGATCTGATTTAAATCAATTCGATTTAAATCACAATGTAAATTACTAGTAAAAAGGTTTGATTTAAATCA